GCCCAGAGTTCAGGCCCCACGACCAGGAAAAAAAAAAGCTATAAGTGGAGGTGAGGATCCACTGTTGAGTGGTAGAGTGCCAACCCTGAGAGAAAAACCAGGTGAGAGTGTGAGGCCTTGGCTTCAAGCCCCTTCCATGGTCACCTTCATGTTAAGCACAGTGCTGAGTACATATTGAGCACCTAAATAGGAAGAGGTGATCCCTACCTCTTGAGATTTATTCTGAGGATTAGGTTTTACACACACACACACACACACACACACACACACAGGAGTCATAGGTCATCCATATGCCAATTATATATAAAAAAATTTTTGGAAAAAAATATCTAAGCTGGGTATGGTGGCAATGCCTATTATCTAAGCTATGTGGAGAGCATAAATAGGGGATTTCAGTCCCAGGCTGGCCTTCGTCAGAACTATGAGGCCTAATCAGGAAAATAACTAAAAGCAAAAATAAATGGGGTGTGGTTAAAGTGCCTGCTTTTAGGAAGTATAAGGGGCTAAATTCAGATGCTAGTACCAAGATATGTGTGTGTGTGTGTGTGTGTGTGTGTGTGTGTGTGTGTGTGTGTGAGAGAGAGAGAGAGAGAGAGAGAGAGAGAGAGAATGTGTATATGTACTGTACTGTGGCTTGAACTCAGGACCTTTTGCTCTTGCTCAGTTTGTTTTGGCACTCTGCCACTTAAGCCATGTCTGGCTTTTTGCTAGTTATTGGAGATAAGGGTTTCTTGGGCTGGCTTCTAACACTGATCCTCAGATCTCAGTCTCCTGAGTAGCTAGGCTTATAGATGAGTCATTGGCACGTGGTTTTATATATAATGTCTTTACTAAAAATGTACATACATTTTTCTTGTCATTATTCCTGGAATAATATAAAACTACTTGCGTAGAATATTACAAATCATCTAGAGATGACATAAGATTTACAAGAGTGTGTGCAGAGAGTATGCATAGGTCCTATGCCAATATTACACATTTTAAAGTAGGGCTTGAGCATTAGAGGGTTTTAGTATCTGGTAGGGACTTGTAGCCATTCCTTTAGGAGAGAAGGGGGGTCCTGGGGAGAGTATTTACTGTGTCAGAACTGGCAGCAAGTAGAAAACTGAATTGCTTTCATGAAGCTCTGGTTTTAGTAGATGTGGCTCTGTGGCCCTGGTCTAAATGTAAGTTGCTGCTACTACAAGCTTGCCTGACTACATGTGTTCTCTTCAAGGTGTGGAAGATATCCTTACAAGGACCCTGTCACATGACACTACTAATGATTGCTTTCGGCTTGCTGTGGGGACACCTTCTGCAGATCAGACCTACTCAGAGTGTCTTCATTTCTACTTGTCTGTCCTTATCGAGCACACCCCTGGTGTCCAGGTTCCTTGTGGGCAGTGCCAGAGGTGAAAAAGAAGGTAGGTGGCAGGGTATTCTAAGTACGTGTGCAGCTAACACTCATTCGGGCTTGTCCCAAGAAATTGCAAAGCCTCTACCTCCTGCTTAGGTCTCTGTGGGCCTCTATGGGCTCTCAGGTTCATGCTCCATGGCAGACTGATCTGCCTGTGAACTCAGCTTCCTTAAACCAGCCCTTGTTTGTTTGATTCCGAGAAGTGCTTATTAAATGCCTTTCAAATTAGGGCAGTCTGAGTGCCTGAGAGAAACTGGACTGGGATCAGAAGAAAGCAGTCTTCCATACACCATGTGCTCTCTGCTGCTTTTGTGCGGGTAGAAGAAGAATGACACATATTTGCACTTTTCTGCTTTGGCAACAAGGGAACTTCAGCTCTTGTGTTGGGCTTGGCTCATCCGTGTATGCGTGAGGCATTGGCATTCCTGAGTCCCTGCCATGTGTGGTGGGACCATGTATCATGGAGGAGGCCCATTGCTGAGCTGCTCTGCTCTATGTCTTTGGTCTCATCGCATGTTTTATTTCTTTGCAAATGTGTTACTATTTTGTTCTTACTTTGTAAAAGTCAGTCAAATACAAGACCAAATTATCATAGTAACACACAGGAATAGAAACCCCGAACACATAGTAATAAAAGAAAAAATATGGAAAGAGAACCAAAGAGTTGTAGCCAACATCTCCAGTGACATTAGTGCTGCTTTGCCTGTCACAAGGGCTGAGAGTGGTGTTGATTCTGGACCTTCTGAGATCTAGGACAGAGTCCCACGAGGGTGCACTGTGCACTCAAGGCAGTACGGCCTGTTGTGGGGCTCCCCAGTGAAAGGAGTTGAAAAACTTGCCACCCTCTTCAGGACTTATGGGACGCAAATGCCACTCTTCTATCTGCTGCCCTGATGGCCACATCTGAAGTGGTCTAAGTAGCCCTGTGAGCTAGCATTTAATGTGGACCTCAGGGGACCTAGATAAAGATAAGAGCTGAGGGTTACAGGCAGGAATGAAGGGAGCCAGGCATGAAGTACAGCAACTCCTATGGAATGGCCTTATCCAGAAAAACCTACAACTATGAGAAAAATCTGTAGTTAAAAATAGCTACACTTGGGCTGGGAAGGTGGCTCAGTGGTAGAGCGCTTGCCTTGCACGCTCGAGGCCCTGGGTTCGATTCCTCAGCACCACATAAGCAAAAAGAAAAAAGCCGGAAGTGGCGCTGTGGCTCAAGTGGTAGAGCACTAGCCTTGAGCTGAAGAGCTTAGGGACAGTGCTTAAGCCCAGAGTTCAGGCCCCATGACTGGACCCCCCCCAAAAAAATAGCTACACTTCTGTAACCCCTCTATACATCCCCTTGACAATAAAAAATTTAAAAAAAAAAAAGCTACGCTGGGCACCTGTAATCCTAGCTACTCAAGAGGCTGAAATCTGAGGATTGTGGTTCAAAGCCAAGCCCCAGCAGAAAAATCTGTGAGACTCTTTATCCCCAATAAACTACTTTTTTAAAAAAGCTGGAAATGGTGCTCTGGCTCAAGTGGTAGAGCACAAACCTTAAACAGAATCTGCTCAGGGACTGTCCAGGCCCTGAGTTCAAGCCCTAGGATCAGTGTGCGTGCGCGCGCGCACACACACACACACACACAGACAGCTTCACAGTTAGCTGTGTGTTCCCTTACTCATAAAAGCAACCAGTGAAGACTTCAGAATGAGATTGCTTGAGACACTGCAAACAGATGGAGGAGTTGCATAAGAACGGGAAAGAACATTCAAGATACATGCAGACTAGATAGCATGTTCCATGTCTGTGTGTCTGAGGAGAAAGACTGGTAGGCTTTGTTTTATATTGTTATTATTAAGGAGGTGTACAAAGGGGTTACAGTTCCATAGGTCAGGTAGTAAATAAAATGCCTCTTGGACAATGTCACTTTTCCCCTTCTCATCCCCACCTACAAGTTACTAATTCATTTTTACATAGTGTATATAGAGCACAGTGACTGAATCTTACCCTTCCTCCCTCCATTTCTGTGCCTCTTCTGCCTCCCCTAGCAAAAGCATGTTTCCATTTCCTAGAAGGATGGTAATTTTTTTGAACTGGAAAAATTGAGTCCTTAGATTCAAAGTACATTTCAGAACTATACCCAATAAACACTCTACCACTTAAGCCATAGCACCACTTCCGGCTTTTTTTTTCCTGCTTATGTGGTGCTGAGGAATCGAACCCAGGGCCTCATGCATGCAAGGCAAGCGCTCTACCACTGAGCCACCTTCTCAGCCCGAGTCAGGATCTTACTAGCTTACTGGGATGGCTTCTAACCATGATCCTCTGTCTCTGTGTTCTGGGTAGCAGAGATTGCAATGTAACTTAAAAGGTATTTTTAATACACCATTGGCTAGAGGGTGACATTTGCACTTTATAATGAACAAAGGGTTAATAATTCAAAATTTATCAAAGTCTGTTAAGTCCACAGACAAATAATCCAGTGGTACCTATACACAGTGGAATTTTACACAATCATTAGAATAACAATGTCATTTGCTGGGAAATGGATGGAACTAGAATAAATCATGTTAAGTGAGGTAAGCCACACTCAGAGAGACAAATGGCCCATGTTCTTGCTGGTGTGTAGAAATTAGATCTAAAATACACTGGGATATGATAAATTATACAAGATTCTAGATACACACGGTGAGACTAAAAGAGGATACTCTTACGAGAGGAACACAAAGGCACAATGCCTAAGTGCCTCTTCACCTTTATATAAAATAAATACTGAAACAAACTTCCAAGATATAGAAACAAGAGACCATTTTTTTCTATTCTCTTTTTTAGTTTTTAGTTTCTGCTGACTATCTTCTTTACCTTAGGTATGGTGTATTCAAGTGTACATCTTTGGGAGGGTGTGGGGGGAAGGCAGAACTGGAGGGGAAAAGGGTGAAAGTGTTCAAGAGTGCAGCTCACTGGACACTGATGAAAGTGAATGGTACAACTTGTGAGTAGAGACAGGAGGGAGGGACTGGGAGTGAGCGAGGGAACAGAAGACACAGTAAGGAAGGAAATGTACTCATTACCTACCTCATGTAATTGTAATTCCTCTGTACTCATTCCTAAAAAACCAATAAGTTAATATAAAAAGTGGAAAAATCAGCAAAGCTTAATATTACAGAAGGCACTTGTGCAAATTATTAACAGAAAAAATGTCCCGCCTCAGGATCATTCTGGAAATACAGGTGAATGCCACCACACTGTTGGGTGTGGGATTTTGTTTTGTTTGTATTTTTTTGAGACAGTGTTTATTTAGCCCAAGCTGACTTCAAACTTGCAGTCCTCCTGCTGCAGCCTCCTTAGTGCTAGGATTGTAGGCATGCGCTGTGCCTGGTAGAGGCAAGCATTTTAAAACAGCAGATGCCCTATTGCTGTTGCTGCTGTGTCTTCCCAGTGGATCTATAATGGGGTCCAGCCACTTTGGAGAATGATCTCACAATAGAAAATTACTTTTTAGTTACATGCTTTAGGAAATGTATCAGAATATTGCAAATGTGCGTGATATTAAAGGTAGTGTTACTTTTAGAGAACAAGAGTTTGTGACCTGACTATTCAGGAATGCACTGAATAATTATCACATATTTATTGGATTACTACAGAAGGGAGGATGAGTCTCAGGGTGTTGAAGGGAAATTTTGAGATACAGAACATGATGTTCGGGATGGTACCACATGTGTTAAGTTTGAAAACATGCAGACTTTAAACTAAAAATGTTCAGGTGTAGCAGGATCGGCTCAAAGGGGGACACAACATCTCTACTTAAAAGCTAGTAGGTGCGCACTGGTGGGTCACATCTGTAATCCTAACTACCCAGGAGGCTGAGATCTGAGGACCTCGGTTCAAATCCAGCCTTGGCAGGAAAGTCTGTGAGACTCTTTTTTTTTTTTTTAAGTATTTATAGCGAGCCTGAGGATTGAACTCAGGTCCTTGTGGTTGCTAGGCAGGCACTCTTATCACTTAAGCCATGCTTTAGCCCCCATCTGTGAGACTCTTACCTCTAATTAACCACCTGAAATGGAAGTGGCACTGTGGCTTAAGTAGAGCACTTGGCTTGAGCTGAAGAACTGAGGGACAGCACTCAGGCCCAGAGCTCAAGCCCACAACTGACAAAAAACAAAACAAAAGCAGGTATCTACCATTGCACATCATGTTAAATTTTGTGCATTTTTTTTCTCCATCCCATGTGTTTATTTCTTTTGAGAGCAAAAGATAACCATCCAAAAATGGAAATGCACTCTATATTTCCTGTTGTCTTGATTAGCAAAAGTGCTTTCTTGTTAAAAGACATCACCAGGGAAGAGGAGAGGTGGCCTGCTTATGTGGAGTGCAGGACCTGTGACACGTGACAGGGTAGAGGCCACTTTACCACAGGCATCATTATCTGAGCCTGTCACCTTCTTGCTTGTCCAGCTTCTGTAATGGCATCTTTCTGTAACTGTATAAACTGCAGGTGAATCATGGAAATAAGTTATTTGGGTGGCTTTGTTTTCAGGACATGGTGGCACACACCTGGTGTCTGTCCCAGCTGCTCAGTAGGCTGAGGAGGGTGATCAGTTAAAGTCCAGGATTTTGGAGTTGCCTGGGCAACATTGTGAGATCCTGTCTGAAAAAAATTTAAAATCTCTGAGAGCAGAAGTTGAAGTTTTTGCTTTTTTTTTTTGTGCTAGTCCTGGGCTTGAATTCAGGGCCTTGGCACAGTCTCTAGGCATTTTTTGCTCAAGATTAGTGCTCTCCCTCTTGTGTCATAGCTCCCCTTCCAGCATTTAGTTGGTTAATTAGAGATAAGAATCTCATACTTAACTTCCTAGGCTGGCCTCACACTGCCATCCTCAGATTTCAGCCTCTTGAGAAGCGAGGATTCTAATGGGCATGGGCCATCAGTGCCCAGCAGCTGAAATGTTTTTTTTTTTTTTGAAAATTAAAACCTTTTTTGTTTTCAAATGGTCTCATTATTCTGCCCCAGTTGGCCCTAAACTCCTTGCTCAAACGATCCTTTCACCTCAGCCTCTTGAGTAGCTAGGGCCATAGGTGTGTCCCATTGTGCCAGTTCCAAAAAAGATATAAAAACCTGTTCTGATTTAAATTGTCATGGTTATTTGAATTATTCTGGAAATATCTTTGTGCCATGTTGTGTCTCTGGTCCCGCTGAAGTGTTTCCATTTCTCCAGCAGGTGACATTGACTACAGCACAGTGCTTCTTGGCATGCTAGTGATGCAGGATGTGCAACTGGGGTTGTTCATCGCAGTCATGCCCACACTCATACAGGCCGGAGCAAGCGCCTCTTCTGGGTAAGTGTCTTCTTCACTGTCTGCTCTTCTAGCATGAAGTCATTTGTTTATGAAGGTAATACAGTGGCTCAAGCCTACAATCTTGCTACTTGGGAGGCAGAGATCAAGAGATTAGGGACTGGGAAGGTGGCTTAGTGGTAGAGTGCTTGCCTTGCATGCATGAAGCCCTGGGTTCGATTCCTCAGTACCAGATGCACAGAAAAAGCTGGAAGTGGTACTGTGGCTCAAGTGGTAGAGTGCTAGCCTTGAGCAAGAGAAGCTCAGGGACAGTGCCCTGAATTCAAGTCCCAAGACAGGGAGGGAGAGTGGGAGGGAAGGGGAGGGAGGGGGGGGACAGAGGGAGGGAGGGAGGGAGAGAGATACCATGTTTCAAGGCCAACCTGGGCAAAAAGGAGTTTGTGAGACTCCCATCTCAACCAGTGGCTGGGCATAGTGATGCACATCTGTTATCCCCACAATAGGAGAAGGACTGCAGCCCAGGCCAGCCCGGGCATAAAGTAAAGCAAGACCCTACCTTGAAAATAACCAACACAAAAAAAGGGGTTAGAGGTATAGCACTAGTGTGGCAGCACCTGCCTAGCAAGCACAAGGCCCAGAGTTCAATCCCCAGTACCACCAAAAAAAAAAAAAACCTCCATCTAGTACTTTACCTACAGCAGTACCCAGAATCCAAGGGCACACATGGTTCCCAGTGTGCAACATTCTACCACTACTGCTGGGCCCCTGCTGGCTGATGGGCACACATTGGCTCTCTCACATAGTGGGCTCCAGCCTCACTGCTCTGCAGTGCCACCTGTCTGGTGTGGAGAAATAGCACCTACTCCGTGGCAGGCACGAGGGTAGATGGATCTAGATTCACATAGCGTGTTTTTTTGACATTAATGTGATTTCTAGGTTTTAAAGTTTAGTTTTTAAAAATAAAAATGTGTATGATTTGAGTAGTATATTTTGTTATATGTTAAAGAAAAAAGATTGACAGGTTTTTATTAGGTTTTAGAGAAGCTTGTTTGAAAAGTGAAGTAATATATCTTTCTTTTCTTCCCTAGAGTTCTCATGGAAGTACTGCGGATAGTGCTTCTGATGGGTCAGATTGTATTTTCACTAGCTGCTGTTTTTCTCTTATGTCTTGTTATAAAGACATACCTCATAGGACCTTATTATCGAAAGCTGCATTTGGAAAGCAAAGGAAACAAAGAAATCCTTATCCTAGGAATATCAGCCTTCATCTTCTTAATGTTGATGGTAATTCTCAAATAATTTACATGATTGTGTTTACAGCCTTCTATAAGGAGCTTGTGATCAGCTTTTTATCTTTTCATTTTAGCAATGGTAAAGATTTTGAAACATTGGTATTTTTATTTTATATATTGTATTGTACAATAGTATATCATTTATTCTCCTAAATACTTTGTGAAATATGATTAAGCTGTGTCTTAAAAACTTGTGGTCCTAAAAAAGCCATATAAACATCAGTATCATACCATGTTACTCTATCCTGAATGATTATATGGCTTTGATTCTGAAAGAGTAGATAAAATCTAAGAGCAATTTTTAGTTAGATTTGGAAACGATTATCTAGGAAACAGTATAACTTCTATTGCCATAATAGGAAAGTTGTTTTTTTTTTTTTTTTTGGTCGGTCAAGGGGCCTGAACTCTGGCTTGGGCACTGTCCCTCAACTCCAGCTCAAGGCTAGTGCTCTACCACTTGAACCATAGCACCCCTTCCAGCTTTTATCTGCTTATGTGGTGCTGAGGAATTGAACCCAGGGCCTCATGCATGCAAGGCAAGCACTCTACCACTGAGCCACCTTCCCAGCCCCAAAAGATTTTTTTTTGGTCGGTCGTAGGGCTTGAATTCTGGACTTGGGCGCTGTCCCTGTGCTCTTCATCTCAAGGCCAGCGCTCTACCACTTGAGCCACAGTGCCACTTCCAGTTTTCTACTGGTTTATTGCAGACAAGAGTCTCATGGACTTTCCTGCCCAGGCTGGCTTTGAATGGTAGTCCTCAGATCTCAGCCTCCTAAGTAGCTAGGATTACAGGTGTGAGCCACCAGTGCCCAGCTAAAATTCATCTTTAATTGCTGATTAAAAAATGTGGAACAGGGTACAAACCAGATGTGGAATTGCATGGTAGAGAGAAGCATTTGTTCCCAGTTAGGATTGTTGTGGATGAGCACATGCATGCTCACCTTTAATATTACTGCCAATGTGTGTCATCCCCAGACATGCGTTCTTACTGTCCCTTGTTGTTGTGTGTCTGTAACCTCAGCCCTTAGTTGGAAGACAATGCTGACTTGGTGGGGCTTTGTGGTGGTACGCCCTATCAAGCTCTAGGAGCCATCTGGAGATTGCTCTACAGTGTGTATTGAAGTCTTCACACTATTTCACTGCAAGATTGGGAATGTTCTCAGTCATTTGTAATGTATTTAAAGTAAAATCCACCATTTTAGAGAGTTTAAGGCGTAATTTGGTGTTATCAGCACTGTCCAATTATAGAACATCTGTTTCCACTAAAAGAACCTGGGGTTACCTTTATCCCTGGGGACCCTGGTCTTCTTTCTGTCCCTATGGGCTTATCTCTCCTGGGTTCTGTCCCTTTGAGCTTCCTTCTCCTCTCTATGCATTTACTTCTCCTGGGCTCTGTTCCTGTGGGCTTAATTCTCCTGGGCCTTCTCTCTTTATGGATTTACCTCTCCTGGGCTCTCTCTCTCTATGGATTTACCTCTCCTGGGCTCTGTCCTTGTAGATTTACCTCTCCTGGGCTCTGTCTCTATTGCCTTCTCCGAGGTATCTCCTGGGAAGGAGATCATGTACCACCTGGCTGTAGTTTCTGGCTTCTTTCATGCAGCTTTGGTGTCTTCAGGTTTGCACATGTTGTAGTGTCTGTCAGCATTTTAGCCAGCATTGGTGAGTCTATTTCCTGTCTTCCTGGCTGGAGCCTGGCCTTTCATTCTCTTAATGGTTCATTCTCTTAATGGTGTTTTTTTTTAAAAAAAATAATAACCCAAGTTCTTGATATCAGAGTATATAATCCAGTGATTACATGCCTCCTTTGTGATAGCACATTTCATATTCTGTGTAAAAGGTCTTAGTTTAACCCTGGGTCATGAAAATGCTCCATGTTACTGTCTACAAGTTCCAATGCTACTCTTAGATCTACGGCCAACTAAAGATGTTCAGTATCACGGTGGACAGGAATGCCTAATGTAGAAGGAGGCCGCACCTATTTCTCATTGGTGTTACCTTACCAAAGTTCAAGAAGTATCTATATGTGTGTGATGTGCATGTGTGTCTGTGTTTGTGCATATATTTGAGTGTGTTTGTGCATGTGTGTATGGTAACAGTGCATGTATACTCAGAAACGTATGAGTGGTTTTTTGTGTGTTTCCTTATGTGTATATATGGCATGTGTGCGTGTGAGGGGTACTTTATATATGTATATGTGTGATGTGCATGCATTTGTATGCACAGGCATATGCATTGCTCTTGCATACATGTGTGGTCTGGCATGTGTGTCTGCTGTGTGCACGTGTGCCTTATGTGCATGTATGTGTTCTTTTATGTGCTTATGTACATGCATATGTGAGGTATGTGTACTGTGCTTGTCGCATGTAGGTGGATGCTAACATGTGTATCCATCATGTGCTTGTGTGTACATGTGTGTCTTCTCATGGGGGTGCTTTGCACGTGTGATGTGTGTTTCTGATTGCTTCTGACATCTGGTAGTGTTCTGGAACCAGTGTGGTTCTTTGTCAGGGTTGTTGTGGTGATATTTGTGATCTTTCCGTGCTTCACTTAAGTTTTCAGAATTCAGCTGAGCAGTTTTCACGTTGAATCTCAGTGCATTCTGTTGGGTCTGTGACCAGGTGAGGGACAGGTGAGGCCTTCCTAGTACAGAGTTCTTCCTCTTTCTGGTGTCTTGATGCCATGCTTTCACATTATGTGTGGAGATCACACACTTCCATGGCAACTGTACCTGGATGTTCATTTTTTTTTAATGTTCTTGTAAATGGTATTTATTCAGAAGTTCATTTTATACTTGTCTATTGTTGCTATTTTTCATAATTTTAAGCATGCTTTCTTTATTTTGTCAATGATATTTTGCCAAAAAGTCAATCTTGAGCTTAATGTTGGGTGGAGTTAACGACCCAGTACACTGATGTGACCTGTTCTGTCTGGTCTGCCTTTGCAAGATGTCAGTGCTTTACTCTGGTGCCTATCAACACAGTTGCTTAGTAGTGGTGTCTGCATTCTCTGTGTAGTTTGAGGTTAGTGTTAGGGATACATTCTTTTCCTACTACAGTCTGTTCACTGATTCAGGTAAAGAAATGTAGCACAGGGGCTGGGAAGGGATCTCAGTGGTAGAGTGCTTGCCTTGCATGCATGAGACCCTGGGTTCGATTTCTCAGCACCACATAAGCAAAATGAAAAAAGCCAGAAGTGGCGCTATGGCTCAAGTGGTAGAGCGCTAGCCTTGAGCTGAAGAGCTGAGGGACAGCGCCCAGACCCAGAGTTCAGGCCCCACAACCGGACCCCCCCCCCAAAAAAAATAAAAGAAATGTAGCACAAAGATTTACAATGAATTTTGGAAAATACATTTATTCAAAGCTATTGCCGCAGTCTACATGAAAGGCTGTTTCCTTTCCCAGGGTGGTTAATTCAGCCAGTGCTGCCCTCCGCATGTTGTCCCAGCTTGTCAGTGGGCCACTCCTGGGCCTCTCCAGTGAGCCAAGGCATCTCTGCTGCATTCTCTTCATGCACTGTGGTGTTTGCACGGGGCTCAGGGGTGTCTGGGTGTGAAGCTTCCTGAGAGGGGGGATGCATTTCCCAGTGGCTCTGTGTTCCTATGTGAAATTCTTTCTTGTCCCCAGGTCACGGAGCTGTTGGATGTCTCCATGGAGCTGGGCTGCTTCCTGGCTGGAGCACTTGTCTCCTCTCAAGGCCACATGGTCACTGAGGAGGTCATAGCTTACATCGAACCCATCCGAGACTTCCTGGCCATCATCTTCTTCACGTCCATAGGTATGGCTCTCACTTAGCTTTTTTCTACACTTGGAGAAATGTTATTTATAATGGAGGAAAAGTGGACAGAAGGTGGCATGAATTGGCTAATGGCTACTCATGCTCCCTCTGTGCAGAAGTGTGCATATATGTAAGATTAAAGATGACTGAGTGACCTTCAGGGGGCCCAGCTGCATCCTTGCGTGCCAGTGCCATCCCACACATTACAGGCTCAGTGGGTCCTCAGTCGTGTCACAGTCTGAAGCCTCCAGTGGCTAGTGTGGCACAGTGACCTGAGCTTGGGGAGCTAGGTGGGTTTCTGACACCCTCGCATGAAGGTGACCTCTCTTGTGGAACCTTGTTGTCTGAAATATTCATGCACTCTTGGGAAGACAAGGACACTGAAAGCTGGTTCTGAGATTTGCGTAAGAATGTGAAGGGTCCTACATTGCACGTTGTTCCTGCGGGAAAGTCACATGATTGGGAGGCCCAGCATCTTCTTAGAGGTGAAACAAAATGTTTTACCAGCCAGTTCAGTAATCTGGGTTGATCTTGCACAGGGAGTCAGTCAAGCACTGGGTAGCCTGTGGACAGAGCCTCTGATACTTGGCTGGCTGGCTTTATCCTCCGAGATCCCTTTGAACTTCTCTCTGTACTGTAGCTTTGCCCCGTAACTATCAGCCAGTGGCCTGGGCAAGCCTGCCAGCTGTAACTCCTTGACTTCTTCCTCCCTCTTTTGGCAGGGTCTTATGAAAATGATTTGATTAGGTTAGGCTCATCCATGTCTACCACATTCTTCCAGCTCCCTGCCCAACAAGTCACCCTCTGGCCAACTGGGTGTCCCTGAATACCTCAACATGAGCTTTAAACAGGAGTATTTGCTTCATTATCTTCAAATTAAGGTGCTTGCTCTCTGTTAGCATAATAATTGTATATACCTTTTGTAAGGTCCACTCTAGGAAGGCAGACCCTACCCTCCTCTTGGTTAACTCTCTGCCCAGTACCTGTGTCACTTAGGTAACCGACACACTCACACCCCCCCCTCCATGAGGTCATATCCACATCCCATGTGGCCACACCTTCTTCCGCCCCCAGCCTTGATAAGTCATGGCCCAGCTGTCATTCGACCCTTTTATTCCTGCTGCGTAAGCTTCCAACTTGACCAGAGGCAGTCTGCAAATAAACCTTTTCCATTGCCTGAATACCACGTGCTGCTCTCTTTCCTTTGCTGCCAATTTAGTTTACCTAACACTTGCTTTGTGGGTTTTTTTGGTGTTTTTTTTTTTTTAATTGTTGGTGGTGGTAGTGGTGGTCTGGGGCTTGAACTCAGGGCCTACATTCTGAGCTCTTTTGCTCAAGGCTAGCACTCTACCGTTTTGAGCCACAGCTACACTTTCAGTTTTTGAGCCATCAACTAGAGATAAGAGTCTCACAGAGGGGGCTGGGAATGTTGCTTAGTGGTAGAGTGCTTGCCTAGCATGCATGAAGCCCTGGGTTTGATTCCTCAGTGCCACATACACAGAAAAGCCAGAAGTGGCTCTGTGGCTCAAGTGGTAGAGTGCTACCCTTGAGTAAAAGAAGCTCAGGGACAGTGCTCAGGCCCTGAGTTCAAGCCCCAGGACTGGCCAAAAAAAAAGAGTCTCACAGAGACTTTTCTGCCTGGGCTGGCTTCAAAATACAATCCTCAGATCTTATTCTCCGAGTAGCTAGGATTACAGGCATGAGCGACCAGTGCTCAGCTTGATTTGGTTCTCTCTTTGTGTCTCTTTTTTTTTTTTGGTTATTCTTGGGGTTTGAATCTGGGCCTGGGCACTATCCCTCAGCTCTTCAGCTCAAGGTGAGTGCTCTACCCCTTGAGTCACAGCAGTACTTCTGGTTTCCTGGTGGTTAATTGGAGATAAGAGTCTCATGGATTTTACTGCACAGGCTGGCTTTGAACTGTGATTGTCAGATCTCAGCCTACTGAGTAGCTAGAATTACAGGCATGAGCCACCGGCACCTGGCGTGCTTTGGTTCTTTATATTAAGTAGTTTAAAGGAACTAAAGTTAATTCCTCTGAGAAACTGCATGGCCATTCTCCCATATATACCAGGACAGTCTTTTTGTCTTGAGCTTGAAGTGGCATGAAATGATGTACATTTGGCTCAAGACACAATTGTGTATAAGGTGAGGAGGAAGTGATGGGCACAGTTCTTTGGTTGTTTTTTTGTTTGGTGTTTTGTTCTTTGCATTTTTTTGTTCTTGTCTTTGTTTTTGCCAGTCTGGGCTTGAACTCTGGCAGTGAACAGTTTCATGGATTTTCTTGCCCCAGCTGGCTTTGAACCATTATTCTCAGATCTCAGTCTTCTGAGTAGCTTGGATTACAGGCCTAGCCACTGGCTTCTTGCAGAGTATCCTATTTTAACAGGTCATTCACTGGCCCATCCTACAGCAATCCCTATACCTGCTGAAAACTACGTTGGGATTGGGGAGTTAGAGGACAGTCCAGCACCAAAAACTGCTCACATATGGGTGGGCTTGGGTGTTTCTGAGAAGTAATTGACTTGAACAGCATGAGACGCATGGAACCATTTTTAGGCCCTCATGCGGAAGGTTTTTTTTTTTTTTTTTGGTCGGTCGTGGGGTTTGAACTCTGGGCCTGGGCGCTGTCCCTCAGCTCTTCAGCTCAAGGCAAGCGCTCTACCACTTGAGCTACAGCGCCACTTCCGGTTTT